ATATATTGGTAACCTAGAAACTAGATATTACCTCTTGGTCGTTTGCCACATTACTATCCTCTTCGTGTTGAAAATTCACCTGTTAACACCCCCTTCCCTGTGTACCTGACAGAAGTGTAGAGAGGTGACTGTACAATCAAGCTCAGTGGCTCCTCCTCGCCGGTGGGTTTTAGGTATGTTCCCAGCCATTACGTGTGGGGAGAAGTTGTTTTATTACTCCTAGTCATTTCAGAACTAAGGCGGTGAAGCCGTTTCGTTCTGCCAAAAGCCAATCACCATCTCCCATGGTCTTAGCAAACCTTTTTCTGCCTGTTTGGGAAGTTCGATGTGCTATTTCCCATTAGACTTTATATTCAAATGAGCATCAAGACATTGGGGAGAAGAGTCCGAGAGGTAAAATGAAAACATTCTAGAAAAATCATGGTCTTTCAGTTCTGCTGAACTCAGCCAGCCCCTTGGACGTGAGTAATGGTGAAGCGCTTTCGCTCCGCCAGGAGTGGTGGGTGCCCTTGGCTGGTGGTTTCGGAAGCAGTCAGTTGTGCTGGGACTTACTTCCCGTGTGGAGAGAGGGATATCTTTTATCGAGATCCTTAACATGCACGTCAGCTACTACATGTAGAATTTAAAATGTATGTTTCTCAACATCTGTTTTAATTTAAGTTTTTTAAGATAGTTGGGGTTTCTGTAAAAGTTAGAGTTGCTAATCAGGTCCCCCATCCCCCGTGAGATGGCTGGACATCTGAAATGCTGGCCGTGTTCAGAGAGGTGGGGGATGGAGATTGCCTTAGTTTGGATATTAAAAGTGAATTTTTATAAACTCTACTTTTTAGGATTAAGAGATCATACTGTATTACTACCTTTTTTTTTTTTTTCCTGCCCGCCCCGGGTCGGATCAATAGTCTGTTTCCTCAGCCTCAGTACAGCTTTAGAAAATCTTTATCCTTCCAAAGTTTGGATAGTGGTGGGTAACATTTTCCAAACAGTCTTTCAGGGATCGTGTCACTGGCCTACAGCCGAGGTATTTGTTCTCCACTTTGAATCTTAACTGTGGTTTTTCTCCAGTCCGGATGGGAAAGGGCTTCAAGGCACCGCCAGTGATATTTCATATTAGTACTTAGACCATGCCTTTAATTTTAGGTACACCATTACAGTAATCCACTTGGTAAAGTAGCATCACTGTCTTAAGGAGGGGCTGCGATAGCCTTTCCTGTGTCGAGGGCGACCCTCAGGCGCCCCTGCGCCCCCGCCTGTTGAGTCTGACTTCTAGATCTCACCTGCCTCCAGTCCCTTCCTCTGACCACAACTTTCAATGGGTCCTGCCTGGAAGGGTTTCCTCCATTCTAGTGGGCATTTGCTGAACTAAACTGACCCTAAGCTGACTTCCGGCTGCTTGGGAAAACCGCTTGGCCTCAGCGGCCCCTTCCCGCAGAGACACACGCCTCCCCAGATGGCTACACAAGTGGCGCTGAGGCAGAGCAGCAGCAGCGTAGCTGTGCCTCCCCTGGGGAAGGGGGTTTGCTGCAGCCCCCCGGCCACTGAGGGAGGCGAGGGTGCCATCACGCGAAACCCAGGTGTTTGCTTCTGTAAGGTCTCTGATAATTTAGGAATGCTGGAAACCAAGCAACATATTCTCCTAGTCCCCATCTGTGCCACACTTAATTTTGTGATTTAGGTTGCTGTCATGGGTGACTAACTTTGTTCAGTGAAACCAGGGTTTGTTTGTTTGTTTGTTTTATTTGCAACTCATATTTTAAAGGTACATGTTTCTTACTTCAGATCTCTACTGATTGATAGTGCTCTATGGGAAGATGCTGGAACACATTTTGCAAATGTGACTTTTTTTTTTTTTAGTTTTGCTTGAAGCCTGTGTCATAATGTCAGTTGCTGCTGCCTTCTTTCCTTTTATGAGGTTCCCAATGTTTCTTCCAGAAAATTACTTTATTTATGCAAGTCAGGTGACTCTTAGACCACAAAACCATTTGATGATAAACAGATTATCACTAGGTGCATATCTAATTGATATTTTGTGAAATGTTATGCCTGTGTTGCAAAAGTTGAATAGTTTTGTCTTTATATATTGCTGTCTTCAGTGTACAGCATGGTTTTACTTAATTGAATGTTACTGTTTAATATTTTCTTCTTATAGAAGAGACCATGCCCTTTTGTATGACATGTTTTAATAAATGTTATCTGTCAACTTTGTAAAAGTTTTTTCACTCTGGGTATATGACCACATGTCTTTGTCTTCATTCTGGCTTTTGCTACCTGAAAATATAAGTTTTATTGTGGCCTTTTGAGAGTAAATGTCAAACAGACAGTTGGATCAGGTAGGCAGTGAGCGATCATTTGCTGTGCCAGGCAGGCACTTATGATGATTATCTCATTTCAAACCCCTGCCAGCCCCATCGGGCATCTAGGTGCGCTGGGTATTCTCCGTGCCGCTCTCTGGAAGCTGGCCTCTGTGGACTTGTCCTTCTGGCTTCTGGTCAGGGTCTACCAGAGACACGCCAGAAGGAGCTTGGCGGACGAGAGGAGAGAGAAGTTGGGTTAATTCACTGCCCTGGCTGCTGCTTGCCAGGTGTGGGTTGACGGTGGCTGGGCTCCTCTGCCAAGGGCCACCTGTCAGGCCACTCCAGGGTTTGGTAACCGCACACTCCCCTCGTCATGGATAGGTCCTGACTCCCCCTGTTGCCAGCCCTCAGGGGCCTCACTGTCCTCCCAGGAGTTCCTTAACCCTGCCCACACCCCTCGCGAGTAGTCCCTTTGTGAAGCTCCCTAGTCACCCCAGCTGAGTATGCCATGTTTCAGGCCAGGACTCAGGCGGATCATAGGTCTGTGCATTTCACACACGTGAGCCGTTGTCATTCAAGGAAGGCAGGCGTGTCGCCAAGCGCGGTACGGTGACGGCGGAGCTGGCGTTCAAACGCAGGACTTCCTGGCTGTGACACAGGGAGGAGGTTTTTCCCACTGCTCTGGAACGCCTCCGTGGGCTTTAGGCGGGTCTCTAATTCGGCTCGCTTCGCCCTTCCCCAGTCACGCTGCCCCCAGACAAGTCCGGCAGGGAAGAGCCGGATCTTTAAAAGCGCTGCAGGGCCGAGGGCCCCACATATTTCCTCGCGACAGCTCATTACCAGAGACACTGCTTGTTTTAGACCAAACTCAACCATCTTCCCACACGAACCTTCTGTTACCACTGTTTGTTGTGAGGTTTCCCCCCCTCCCCACTGCTGAGCTTGAAGCCAACTGCAGATTGCCTCGGCTAGCTTAGCCCTTCTCCGTACGTGAAGAAGTCCAGGAGAACCATTTCTAGCCTTTTTTTGGTGCGGGCCCGTCCATCCTGACCAGGGCAGACAGGCTCTGTGGCTTGGTGACCCCTCCGACCTCTACTGTCACCCCTCCCCGGTCCCCTGCCGTGACCCCTGGTTGCCAGCAGTCCAGCCCACCTCAGAAGCAGGGTTTTTTCCCCCACGCTGCTCCGGCGGGGGCGGGACCTCTGGGGTGTGAAGATGAGCAGCATCGCGCACCTTATCAGGGGGAAGGAAAAGATGAAGTGGCTCATTCGTATTTGGGAACAGAAGCGGGGTGGGATGTGAGAGGTGTTACCCAGATGGAGCATTCAACACCTGTGCAGTTTATTTAGGTTTCCTCATACTTCAGGGACCGCTTCCCACGAACCCCCCCGGAGCAGTCCTTGAGACAGTTTCCATGCCTGGGCATCTCGGAGGGTACTCAGCTCTAGGATTTGCCCACAGTCCATGGATCAGTTAGCAGGTCAGCAACAGGAAATGAGGTAAGCTTGAACTTGAAGTAACTTACAGTCAATAATTATTTGGTAGATGGTTTTAAGTTTGTTCTTTCTCACTGCAGAAAGTGAGCGATAAGAACTCTGCCCTTCTCACTCTGTCTTGTGTTCTTTTAAGAAAACTTGCTCAGAGTTCTGTGGTTAGAGTTCAGGAAATAGAGATAGGCACAGATGGCATTTTTTTGCCCTGAATGAGAAACCAGAAGGGGAGTAAGAGTAGGGAGAGAAATGTCAATGTTTCGTTTTGTTTTTCCCTTGAACTGATTTGACTAGTTTTGACCAAAATCAAACAATTTGATTTTATAATCTACCGCTTTCTCAGACCACTGCAAGTAGCTTGATGCGATTATAGGAGAATCACAGCTGTCTTTTGAGGGGATCTGTGGGCTCTATAAAAACGGTAATTTGTAAGCAAGACTGCAGGTAAATATATAAAATAGTGATTTTTTTACTCAGATTCTAGTGATCGTGAGTTCCGTTTTTTCTTCTCTATATTCCAAAATAAGAAATGAGTACTAAAGCCATGAAATGTATTTATAACTTAATAAGATACCAGTTACTCCCCAGAGTATACTGGTCTGCCAGACGTAATCGCTAACCTTTATTAGTGGGTGCTGAAGGCTGCTCTAGGACTGCCCTATCTTGTTACTTTGGGGTCAGCAATGCTGTGTTAAATCTTACTCGTTAGGGTTTTCTGGAAAGATCCTCAACTGCACAGTACTTCACTCATGCTAGATGGATGCCAAGTAGGTGAAAGCTGCTAAAGTTCCTACAGGATCTGGCTTAGCAGAAATTGTAGGTTTTAAAACGACACCACTGACCTTGAACCAAACTAGAAAGGATTTAATTTTTACCTCATTTACACAGTGTGTCATAATG